GTAGTTAAGATCATGGACTTTTGGCCATGGTTAAAATGTGAACTTTGGTTAAGTGAGGTTGGTGGCGAGAGTATGAAGAAAGTTTCTGTCAAACATGTGGTTTATCACATACAGTAGATATTCAACACGTGAACACAACACGGTTTAGGCTTATAATCCACAGTTGTCTGCTGAATCTGTCAGACCTTCTCTCTCTGGGAGTCTAAAATAAGAGAGACCTTGTTGACTTACTATACGTAGGATAGAAAAACGGCCATGGGAATAAGTCAGGAAACCCCAAAAGACCCATGGGTCGTGGTCAACATGGCTTCTGTTGTGCTCGCTAGCATTCTACCGTGATATTTCAGCGTATATAGTGCCGCGCTGTTGCTCAGGCAGCTAAAATGATAATTTACTATTTCGTAAAAATACAGATACAGTATTAAGGTCTCCTTCGGAAGTGTTTCATAATTTTTCTTCAAAATTCTATTTCTTCTTTTGTTTCTTAATGGTTTGCCGTGGTGAGCATAACGCTGAGGTTTTGCCTGCCAGTAAACATCTCACTGCTATACTGTACAGTACGTGCAGAAACTTGGTAAGCGCTATACTAACAACCGTCTACATCTCATATACAGGGTATTATAGCCACAGAAAGACTACGGTGTGTAATTAAAAGCTTTATTTTACACGATAAATATCCCTTTAATGTAGATGTTATAGATGGTCAAACTGAGTACACATTTCTCTCAAAGAAAAACAAAATTATATGATAATCGGTGTATAACAGGTAAAGCCTTGGTATGAGACGTGCAGAATGATGGCATGTGTGAGGTAGATGCTGTTGACGGCATGAAGCACCCTCATAACACGGAGACAATAATAGGTTTGAGTGAGATGCAGTTGCGTCAGTAACCTCGTGGATTTATGGGTGACTGAACTGACTTGAAATATCTTAAGTAAACGACCTCACCGAGAACCTCAGAGATATAAATTTAGACAGTGATGAATAGTAAAAAAGCATAGGCTAAAAACATACGAGGAAGTTATATGATAAAAAATGAGATGTGGTTTTGTGCATACGAGTAAAAAAAAATCGAAAAAATAACAAGATGAAAAAAATGAGGATTATCTCATGAAAACCGTAAACACGAGACATGATACTGTAAATATAAAGCAGTAAAGAAACTCTGGTGGTTAATGCGCCCTTCTTTCACGTGAAAATGCATAATTTGTTGATATATTTTTATAATAGAAACAGCAACAGCCGCCCACTCTGATGCTCGACCGTTAAATGGTTAATCAAGAAGGATGAGAGAATTGTTGCCTTTGGTTGGACTCCTGTTGTACTGTACATCACACGGGGATGGTGACACAAGCTACAGTACCAGTAAACAGTACACCAACAGAATTTTTTATTCCCAAGGTTTATTAAATGTCTGTTAGGTGGTTGTAAACAATAGCGGTGAGGAAATGTGGATTGTGAAGGTGACCTGCACGTAAAGCAGCTGTTAAAAGTAAGGCGTTGTAGAAATTTAAGTATTTTGTTCTGATGGTGAGCTGAAAAATTGTTTAATGGCGAGTAGGTGTGGGTGTGTGTACAGTGATTATTGTATTCAGTATTTAAATTCTTGACTTTAGAAATTCGAAGCAACTTTTAATTTTATTTTACTTTGTAAATAAATGAGCACGTTAACAGGAACAAGTCAAAAAATTACACCCACAGTAATCCCACATTACCTCAGGATAGCTGTTATTAATTCGTCGACAATAGTAATTTGCATAACCGAAAATAAACTAATTATATGCCTAGTTGAGTGAAGTTTAATTTATCTAACTTTTTGTTTATCGTCACAAATAATGAGCTCGGCAGCAATGGAGGCAACGCACACTGGTGGCTCCACTCACCGCGAAGGGGACGAGTTGATATATATACATATATATATATATATATATATATATATATATATATATATATATATATATATATATATATATATATATATATATATAATTTTTTTTGATACTTGAAACTATTAACCGTTAGAGGTAGTATGAAAATAAATAACTTGTATCAAGACATATTTCCAAAATTGCGTTTTATCAAACTTTTTACAATGCGGTACTTTAACCCTTATATTGTACTGTAGCTCTCGAACACAATTATGAACTATCTTGACATTTTATCAGGACTAAACTGTATACTGTTTTTTTATGAAAAGATTTATTCTTAACATAATTAGTAAAAATGACTTGGCAGTTTTCGTGCCTTATTAATAGATGAGCGAGAGGGAGGCTGCTACTATCAGTGAGGCTGTCGAGCTTGTGTGTGGGATGAAACTTGGCAGGGCGTGTGGTTGAGACATACACGCCTCATGACTGATACATGCAAGGGCATACACTACATGTTCCATATATGAAACATACGGAGGCATTATGCTCCGTGAATGAGACTTGACGGGAATGCTGTATATACTTATTGATTGGAACGTATTACAAGGCCGTTAACACTGCGCATTTATGACACAGTGCTGGAGACATTGGCCTTGTCTCTTCCGATACTGACACTTGTGAGGCACATAATGGTCCCTGGTTGAGAGATGAGAAAATACACAGTGACCGTCACCTCGCCTCATAATGTTGAAGTCACCTTGTATGCATTATATCCTTATCATGACAGATGCTTGGAAGATTTTACAACGGTGAAATTTTCTTTCGCCAACACCGATGAAAAGTTTGTATTTATATTTTTTAAGTCTTATGTCATTTGTCTCATCGGATTGTACAAGAGAGTCTTCCACAGGTGGCCGGGGTGTGAAGATGCCTCAAGTGGTCATAACGTACAGTACAGTTGTGAGTGTCGGCAGCAGCATCTTGGCGAGTTTTATTAGATTTGTTCACTACTATCATGCATGAATATTTTCGTGTACACTCTCTGAGGAGTCATAAACATAAATTAGGAAGAAAAAAATGAATCGAGCCCTTCATTCCGGTCATCAACTACATATACTAGGTTAGCATGATACCTTGCAGACATTCTCTAAAATATTTTGTCCAAGAACTTAATGTAAAGATATTCACACTATGTATACCAATGCGAGAATGATTATGACGGACGAAAATACACAAATATAGTTGGGTAAGGTTGTGTGGGGAACTACAGTACACCTTGACAGTTACTGCTATAAAATGACTTGTAGTGGATGAAACACCAAGTGTCAAAGCTCCATAAAGGCCCGCGGCAACAGGGAGAGCCATGGCGTGTCCCAGAGCTGTGGTCCTCGTCCAGAGTGAACTTGAATAACATTAATAACTGTGTACAGTGTGTGAGGACTTGGGAGACACAGACCGAACCTTCCTCATTCCACCAGTGTGTGTGTGTGTGTGTGTCCTGAGGTGGCTGAAGTTGTTATTGTCAAGGTGTTAGTATGTGATGACCGTTCAGTCTCACAGTATTGTGTTCGAACAACTTGAATTTCAGAAGTTTCAGCAATGAACTAATCTTGTATTTTATCCCCGCAAGATGATTGCTCACATGTTGGTGAGTTCTGGTTTTTCACAAGTACTGTTGTAGCCAGACCAAACCTTCGTTAAGAGCGCGGGACCACCAGCCAAGGCCCGAAGTGATGAACTCAGGTTATATACATTATTGGTGATTATACTATGAACTTTGTAGCTTTTGATATACCAGTTTAAGGATGATGATAATTGTGTGCTTGTGCATATGAATCCTTAGTACAGGCTGCAAATAGGTTGACATGTGTGCGTAAATCCTCCTACGGATGTGGACATTTAACTGCGTTTGTTAAGCGTAGTGTTAAGTTTTAAAGCCCCAGTAATTTTATTGTTATACAGTAGGGTTTTTTTTAGATGCAATGTTACATAACGTTTAATATTTGTATACACTTGATGTCATCTTTTATCACGCTGTTGAGACGAAGAAGTTTAATATCACTAACTATCTACAGTAGATCACTCAAAAGCAATACAAATCTAGTAAAAATATTTCTAATACACCAAACCACTCCATTTACAGCCGACCAGACACTATATACATTACACGTCACTTAAGGCACGACTAATACTGTGCCTCTACGCCAACTCACTGAGGGATGCTGATAACAGTAAATAAATTTGTTCTTGTATACATACCGGTGATATGTTGCGCCGCGACACGTCTAAGTATTTCGCTAAGGATAAAAGTCTAATATATCCGGACTGTGTTACTGACTATACGAGACAATTCAGATAAGGTTCTAGAATCTAAGAGAGACTAGAAGGCACTATGGGACGTTTAAAAGACTCAAGAATACACTAGAAGCTAAACGTTCACTACACCCACACACACTTGACGCCGGGTTCACTACCACACACTGAACACTGCACGTGTCCGGCAAGTCTCTGCTCCGAAGGTATTTAAAACTAGAATATACATCTAAATCTGTCGTTAGAAACATGAACCATTAAGTTACCTGTGCTTTGTGTGTTGTGGATATCTTATTTCTAACAGTACATTTAGAAGTATACATCGGTTGTTGTAATTCCTTCTGAGTAGAGACTTTACGGACACCTGTAGAACCAAGTGTTAGGCGTAGCATACCACGGGACAGGACATACCACCAGGGCCACACAGGACAGGTCATACCACCAGGGCCACGCAGATCAGGGTATATCAGGGCCACACGAGGCAAGGAACCACTAAGGCTATATATTCGTACACTGTAAGGTGACCAGAAGTCATTCCATTGGGCCACATAACATCATCTCCGCCACAAAGTCGTACACTGTGGCTAGCAAAAAAGCATTCCACTAAGGCCACATACGATCACCATGGCCCCTTAAAAAAAAAAAAAGATGACCATTCCACTCGGACCACATATCACCAACATGGCCACAAAGTCATACACTGTGGCCAAGAGTCATTCCACTAAGGCTCAACACACACACACACACCACCAGCGAGCTTCAACAAGACCAAGTTGTGTTCTGGGACTGAAGAGTTACACGTATGAGAGAGAACTAACCCTTGGTATGTAGTCGTAGCCGTAAGGTTCCTGCAGGGGAGACATCTTAGTTTTATTTACGTTCTAACACAAGATGAAAAGTCATTTGAGTTTGTCTGGGGGGAAGGGTGAGGCTTGGCTCTCCATTAATACAGGTTAACGTTAATGGGAGTTACGTTATAAAGGCGTGAGAGAACATAGGGGGTTATCAAATTGTTTTACCAGAAAATAAAGATATAATGCAAGAGGAATATTATACCAGTGATTATATAGGAGTAGCATTACATAGGTGTAAAATATAGTATAAGGGGTAACATTATATACAGGAGTAACATGTTATAAGGGTAACAGAATATAGTCTTAATATTATAAATGAGTTAAGTTATATAGGAATGACATTAGATAAGAATATTAAATCTGAGCAATATTATGTAGGAAGAATGTTAGAATAATAATGGTGTATGTGTTTGACTGTACAGGAGTAAGATTGTGCAGTGGCTAATAAGATCCTGTACTATAAAAAGGTGTATAGACACGTGTATTATATATTATTAATGTTATATAGGCGTAACATTATAGGTGAATACTAACAAATGGAAAGGTATCAAACTTAAGCTGTTAATAATTTATTTTTCTTCAGGTTAAAGTCACATGTGCAGAAGGTTAGAATAAAGTAAGGAACAGTGTATTTGTTAGGCTCAGAGAATGAATTCCCTTATTGAGCGAAGAAAAAAACGATCACAACGCGTCGTGGATGTTTTACAATAACCATAAAGCGAAATTTCGTTATAGGTTAGATAAAAATAGGTGTGTTTAAGTTAGTTTGGGTTAGATTAGATTTGGTTAGAGTAGCTTAGTTTAGGTTAGTTTTGTATTGGTTAGCTTGAGTTGGGTTAGATTAGGCTAAGTGAAATTAGATAAGGTTTAGTTAGATTTGATTTGATTAGGTTAGCTTAGGTTAGAGGAATCTTGAAACCGCCCAAAACACGTTGTGGCTTGGGAACAAACCCTCTTCACAAAATTTCGCTTTCTGCTTATTTTTCGCTTAGTGAGCGAAATCGATTTTTGAGCCTAACATATGTACTTGTTTTAATCATGGACCCGAAGTGATGTTTTAACAGTGAAAATGGAAGAGGAATTGGTTTAAAGGTGAACTCTCACATTGCTGTCAGCCGAGGGACAGTGTAGGCGTGTTAGCACGGTTTTTGTGCACTGCTGTTATTTTGAAACTTCTTGTTACTGTACCTGTATCCGTAATTATGTGACAAAATTGTACTTTGGTCCAAAGTAGTGTTTTGTATAGTCTTATAATTGTCCGCACCTGACCAAAGGGGGAAAGAGAGGGAGGGCTAAGGGAAGGGAGTTTTGTTCACCATAGTACATTGGTCGTGAGTTGTGTTTGTTAGTGTTAAAATTTTCATATATATATATATATATATATATATATATATATATATATATATATATACACACACACACACCTGTACTCTTAGCCTTACCTGCATCTTTGTTCACCTATAATTGTGTATGCCTGTACAGTACTAGTCTGTACCTGAACATATATTTCCATCAAGTACCGGTGACGAATGAAGCATGAAATATGTTGATACGAATTGAAAAGGGAAGTGGTGTGATGGCATGAATTTCAGTGGCGTAATACCCATGGAAATAGTGGTAGAAGAGAGAGAGTGAGGTGACAGGTCGCCTGGCATGATGGGGGGGGGTTCCAAGGAACGTTATTGGTTATAGAAAGACCGAGGGTAGTGGTACTGATGGCTGGTGTAGTGAGGTGTGTGTGTGTGTGTGTGTGTGTGTGTGTGTGTGTGTGTGTGTGTGTGTGTGTGTGTGTGTACCTGTATCTCTGTGTGTGTGTGCCTGTACTTGTATCTTTTCTGTGTGTGTACCTGTACGTGTATCTTTGTGTGTGTGTACCTGTACGTGTATCTTGTGTGTGTGTACCTGTGTATCTGTGTGTGTGTGCACCTGTACGTGTATCTTGTGTGTGTGTACCTGTACGTGTATCTTTGTGTGTGTGCACCTGTACGTGTATCTTGTGTGTGTGTACCTGTACGTGTATCTGTGTGTGTGCACCTGTACGTGTATCTTTGTGTGTGTGTGTGTCTGTATCTTGTGTGTGTGTACCTGTACGTGTATCTTTTGTGTGTGCACCTGTACGTGTATCTTGTGTGTGTGTACCTGTACGTGTATCTTTGTGTGTGTGCACCTGTACGTGTATCTTTGTGTGTGTGTACCTGTACGTGTATCTTGTGTGTGTGTACCTGTATATGTGTATATTGTGTGTGTGTACCTGTACGTGTGCACCTGTACGTATCTTGTGTGTGTGTACCTGTACGTGTATCTTTGTGTGTGTGCACCTGTACGTGTATCTTTGTGTGTGTACCTGTACGTGTATCTTGTGTGTGCACCTGTGTGTGTGTGTACCTTGTGTGTGTGTACCTGTACGTGTATCTTTGTGTGTGTGTACCTGTACGTGTATCTTTGTGTGTGTGTACCTGTACGTGTATCTTTATCTGTGTGTGTACCTGTACGTGTATCTTTATCTGTGTGTGTACCTGTACTTGTATCTTTGTCTGGATGTTGTTAGCTTGTATTGTTATCTGTGTACGTATTTGTATTTGGACCTACACATGAACTTGAAACTGTACCTCTAACTGTACCCATACAATATGTGTATATGTATTTTCAATTGTATCAGTACCCTTTCATGTATCTGTTCCTGTACTAAAAACTAGACTTGTACTGTATTGTGTACCTGTCCTTGTATCGGTTCTTGTACCTCAAGTAATAAGTGTACATCTTCTTATGCATGTATCTGTACTGTACCTTTACTTGTACTGGTGCTTGTGTCTGCAGCTCTACCCTGTACATGCATAGGTACTCTTATTTCTGAATTGATAGAACGAAGTGAAATCCCTCACCCAAACACTGTGGGTATTCTGAGTGGTGAGGCTGCTGGGGGAGGATATATTTGGAGGGTTCAGTAAGGCCGAGCTGTGTCGGTCGGCTCAGCCACACGTGTTCGTGGGGGGAAGAGGAGCAGAGGGAGGGCGAACGACTGAAGATATTGGAGGACGTATAATAGAGGTCTTGAAGGATTGTCGACAGGTGTTGTTGCAAGAGGTAGGAGGGTGGGCGACAGGTGACAATGGTGGAAGTATTGTCGACGGCAAACGACAAGAGATCATATTCAAGTTTCTCCACGACAGCTGAACTTCATGAGCCTTTTGTTTCTGGATTGTGACCTGATACTATTATAGTGTGTGTGTGGGATGAATAGACTGTTCAACATGTTAGGACGAAATGGTAAACAACTTCCTTTTCTGTGGACATCAGTCATATGTAGTATGGGAAGAATAAATAGTAAAGTTCTATTTAATAGCTGGTGTTTACTTTGATTTATGCTTCAGGTGTAGTTTCCTGTGTCTGTGTGAAAGTTCGAAATAACTTGATTATTTGGAAGAAAGCATTACTCGCCCAGTTGCGTTGAACGTGTTACTTCATCTTAAATTATACCTTCAAGATACATAATTACCAGCTTTATAAAGAGTCGTTCAACATGACTGGAAATATGACGCTATAACCCTTGTTTCAAAACATTCAGTAAATCAGGCTTTCATGAGATGTGCTGTGAAGGATTTATCTATGGTTCAGGATTGAAATTAGTAGAAACAGAAACTCCTTAAGGTAAATGCAATGGTTTTTGGATCTAGGATTGTACGGTAATATTAGGTAGCGTGTAGAGTACTAGGTAGTAGGCAGCTACCAAACAGGGAGGTACTACCGCCTGGGAAGATATTGGAAGCATAATGTGTTGTCTAATGGTAGACCCTGCTGCCATATGGCATCACGAAAATTGTGACCAAGTCCCAGGTTGCTGATCTGTCTTTCTGCCTCAATTACACACGATTGCAGGGTCTCAATTATTTCTCTTACTTGACAACACAACATACATATATTGTTTCTCACTTTTTTTTAGTTCTTTATAGTTCTTTATTATTATTATTATTATTATTATTATTATTATTATTATTATTATTATTATTATTATTATTATTATTATTATTATTATTATTATTATTATTATTATCATTATTATTTTATTTTACTTTTTATTATAAAATTTATTTACTATTAATAATTATTACATTTTCGCCCCCAGGCCCTGATGTGGGTCCGTGACTTGTGCCCGTGTGGGCTAATCCCCGTAAAAAAAATGTTGGTACTGAATAAACTTAGTGACAAGTGTAACTCACGAGTACTGGTGGAAGGTTAACTTAAGGTGTGAAGTTTATATAATCAATCACTATACCCTGGTGGTGTGTATCGTAATATCCAGTCCATGTTCACATTAATTGTTACTCCCCATGTCTACGATATTCGTAGCAAGCAGTAAGTACGGTAAGTTTGCCATAAACGTGTACATTAATATTGTTGTGGTTGTGTGTGTACAGTCGCAGACAAAAAATTTGCTCCCCGTGGTGAAACTGAGTCACGGGAACGAGTCTCCGAACTGACTTACCATGACTTGCATCTAATTTGGGGTCGATGCTGCTTCATTTTGGGAGGGAGCGAACTTTTGACCCCGACTGCACCTTAACCTAGTAGTCCAAGTGAATAGGATTTAAAACTCTATTTGTGTTTAATACTTAAGCAGTATCTGATAACTCGTGTGTGTGGTGTGTGTGTGTGTGTAGAGATACACTATTATTGCACTGTACTGTGTTAACAGCTGTAGTGTGTAAAGGAGGTATTACAGGACTGAATTATAACCTATGGGGACGGACGATAACTTTAGGTTGTGTCATGATATAAGGTTCAGTGTATGTCAGCTCAGTGTAATAGATTACCGTTGTCTGTATGGATTCATCTATTGGACTCGAGCTTTTAATCTTCAAAGCTTCCTCATGGTTCAGGGCGCCACTTGCCCTTGGATCAATAATTTAATATGTACCGAGACGGTTTATTATGGGAAGCGTCGACTGTAGGTGCTGTAAAACATGTTGCCAGCCTGTAGCCGTGTGTGTGTGTGTGTGGCATAAATACGAGACAACTTTAACCATAAACAGTGCAGCCATTGATAACCGGATATCAGTGCAAGAGAATAAAATGGTGTCTGTTAGTCTGTTACTATAATACAGGTTAGGACAAAACATGTGGGATGAAGCAGAGCGAGTTGACAAATACGAACATCGGGAGAACAGTGTGACGGTTGAGAAAATGTACGTAAAATAGAAATTAACGTTTTTTTGTAAACATGTAAAAAATTATTCAAAAGTTTAGTGGCCTTTTTTTTTACGTCTTTAGATATTTGCAGTTGTGTTTTTTCCTTGAGTAAAGCTTATTTTATTTATTGTCGCTTTGACCTGAGAAACTTAATTGTCGTCTGTATTGAGAACCAGACGAATATTTGCATTATGATTTAGTTCACGTTTCGGAAATATTGATAATAACTTGTGTACGATGAAAATTTACATATATATTTTAAGTTCAAGAGGAGACAATTAATGCCTGTTATATTTACAGTACAAATCTTACTTCTGTTAAAAAAATATATCGTATGTGATCATAATTATTGTGTTAATTAATTGTTTATATTGCTGATTGAAGCTGACTTTTATGTGTTTCGGTTAATATAACCCTCGGTATCACCTAAATAAACATGGCTATAACTAAAGGTTAAATTTTAGTAGGCAGTAAGTTACATTCCCTTTAAACACGAATGTTACCAAGAGAAATGGTTGATAGCATACACTTTTAAGAGACAGGGAGACCGCTGTTTTTGTTGTTACGTATACGTGGATGAGTTGTTCGCGCCCGGCATACGATAATGGCTATTTTGAGAATGCATCTGTATACCAGTTAATACTTTAACCCTAGTATATGTTACGTGGTGTTAAGATAGCGAGTGAGCGAAGCCATCATGCGTATTCAAACATGCCAAGGGGAGAATACAGACACAGTATACAGGTACTGTATGTGGCCCAAAGCAAAGGATAATGTTGATAATGTAGGCTTCAGGGTATCAGCCAGGCTGGCTACTTAGGCATTCATCTACAAGGGAATCGGCTCCAAACATATATAAAGCCTTTAACACGACCTTGCTCCGAAACAGACGCCATTGGTGAAAATAAGCTTTAAAATTTGATAGTACCTGTATGTGTATTAAAATTTAAGTAAACATGAAAATTACATTTTAATTCCAGTAATCTTGGGTGGCTTTGAGAAAAGCTGTTTTCATAGCACAACTATCAAAGGAGTCACAAGTAAGTTGAATGTCTGTTAGGTACAGGCGCGCCACAACTTTTGCCAGCCTTGACGCCTTTGAGAAATAGTATTGTAGCTTATATTAGCCAACTGGGTACCAGTTCCTGAGAATGCCACTATATATATATATATATATATATATATATATATATATATATATATATATATATATATATATATATATATATATATATATATATATGTGTGTGTGTGTGTGATTTCGTATCCTTTAAGAATATTTTTTACTTGTTTATACATTAGTCTTATCTCTGTAGTGTATTACATTTGTGATAGCGCTTCAGTAACAGGTAGATTAAACTTTCTCGTTCTCTGCTTCACTGTATTGTATTGCTCCTGATGTCCGTCTTCTATGAATCTCCATTTTCTGTGGAGTGGCTCCTGTAATGGTTACCAATCTCACTACCATTTTTTTCCTCTTCAAAATTTTGTGACTTCTGTTTTGCTGTGTTCGTTCATTTTATGTATACACAACTCCTCCAAGCACTCTTCGGTTTTCGTTGCACTTTTTTTTATCTATTAGTATGTACAGTACAGTACTTCACCACACACACATTCCTTCTTCCCATTTATGGATGACGACTGTGATCTGTGTTGCTAGAATATTATAATACGATTATATAGCCAGGCCGTCCCTTACTATATTGACTCAGTGGACGGTATTGTAACAGCGATGAGAAAGTTGTTCAATATTTCCATATTTGGAGTGGCGTTCATGCTGTGGGTAGGGGAGAGCCTGAGCAGGCCAAGGTGGGGAGTGGGTGTTGGGATAGTTTGTCGTGGGCGTGGAGGCCGGGGTGTAAGGAGAATAGGAATGAAGATTGAAAAGATGCAAGGAGCTGGTTTTATGGGAGAAAATTTTCGGTTGCATGGGTAAGAGAGCTTGGGTTTGTTGGTGGTGAGTCACTGATGCGGGTTTTGGAGTAAGGAAACACAAGATGGAGACTTTGGCCTTAAACTGACAACTTCCCAGCTTCTAGCGGCCGAGGCGTGGCGGCCACATTTGTAATACTGGTCATAATGTATCGCCGGCGGGCACCACCTAGTTTGCCGCCCTCGTTAGTTCACCAAACGGATTTTCATATTGTAAAGAAGGGAACCGCTATACACTAGAGCTGAAGATATTTTACTATCCAAAGTGGGTCAGCAGAGTACAAGCAGAATAGCGCGTTTATGGACCTACCTGCATGTAGCCACCCATGGGTGGGCGTCCATAGGAAGCGGGCCCAGGCATGCTGAAGGTGGGTCCACTCATATGCGACATCTTTCGAGTGATGTAGGAATCGTCGTAACTTGGTCCTCGCATCATGTTGCTGGTGCAGGCGACACTGTGGACTGACAACACACCTCGCGGCCCCGCTCCTAGCGCCCACTGCTCACCCGTCTTCTTCGGGCCCTCCACACCACAACACCTATTTTGGGACCGCTGCCCACACCACGTCACTTCCTCTACCACCTGAAATAGCCTTTGCCAGTGCCCGGACGCTCCTCGTGCGGCCAGCCACGTCCCGGCCACCCAATGACAACCTGTATTAATTTGTTAGTCGTTGATGATAGGGTGGGAAGAGACGAGGCTGAGAATGGCGGCCGTTACACCCGTACTACTGTACGACATCCTCAGCTGACCCGCTACCTTCTAGTAAAATTCATAACCAGACGTTGGTTGCTAAACATTAGCACTAAACTTCAAATAACGAAAATCGAGTTTACGAGAACTACTTTTTGTAATTTGTGCGTTTGTCAATAAAAAAGATCCTCAAAAGTGGAAGCTACTTTTTAAAAGTCGGAGTCAGCGGTGAGACATGATTCTGACACCCAATAGCTACAAACATATTACCCCTCCATCCATGGGGTAGTAAAGCTACCATTATTGCAACACTTGTTTAATAATATAGAATATCATCCGTGTTCCTTTGTGACTTAGACAAAATGGTTGGTGACCCCAGCATCAGTCAGGAGATCCCCTCAACAAGGTGCACATCTAGACTAGTATATAAGTTGTGCAGGATCCGTGAACTGAGGGACCAGGTACATGTATAAGACATAGGTCACACGAGGGTGTCAAGTGAATATATGAGACAGTTATACTCAAGAGAAGTAATTTTTATATTTTAATTATGTGAAACAATGTTTAGAGAGAATGAAGGATTTGTATAGAATACGGTAAGAGATGGGAAATTGAGGGTGAAGGGATAACAAACAATTTATATGCAAGAGAGTATTTGATTGTGAAATAACAATTGGCTGTAATAGAACATGTTATAAGATGTTGATACCAAAACTTGTATTGATTATCATGGTTACCATCGATCAGTCGGCGGTTATCTTAGGGTGGTCTCTGGAGGGAGTTTTACACGGATCAAGTATAGTGTTTTATTCTTATAGTTTAAGCAGGTGAATCCTTGAGTCTGAAATATGAAGTAACAGCTAAAGAGCACCAAAACAATATAATAATGATGGGACGGTAAGTGAACAGTGTGGTAATAGTTCGCCAACTCCAGTTACAATTAAGACAAGAGCGGTAGACGCGCAGATGCTCTCTCCTTGGTAGGAGTTAGAATGTCCAGCATCACCAGTGTCAGTACCAGTTTACTACAGTTCATAATTAAGTTTGCATTTACTCGTGTGTGTGTGTGTGTGTGTGTGTGTGTGTGTGTGTGTGTGTGTGTGTGTGTGTGTGTGTGTGTGTGTGTGTGTGACGCTAAATAGGGATAATCTCCGATTAAGCCTTAAAAAGCAACTGACATTTTTGCCAAATAGGGAATACTTTTTCTTTTATTGTTTCAACATAATGAAAATGAATATGTTTATAGTAAAATTTGTTCCTGTTTCATTTAAGATTCGGTTACCATCATAAGATTTTAAAATTATACCTAAAATAAGTTAGGTTAAGTTAGATTTTGTGTGAACGTATTAATTTATACCCGGTATGTATTTTGATGATCTACATCAAGGATTCTGAGACTATATGAGGATAGCTTACTCAATGTTAATGTTTTTATTCTCCTGCGACTGTGGCCTTCGCCAAGCGGCCGGAAAGTAAAAAATTAACGTAAGCCCGTTGCGTCTTGCATGATATTATGCGATAACACCAGATTATTCAATAAAAACAATTCATATATAGTCAGTAGGTTATTAAAACCCAACTTTAGATGTCTAAGGATAATTTCTCAACGCAAGACATTTATTATCTTGCAGTAAAAGATAATTATTTGCCCATTTAAGGGAATATGCTCCCTTTGGTTCTTCAGTAAGAGCGATGGTGGTAGCTGCAACTTTACACCATTTAATATGAAAAAAAAATATCGCAGACAGTTAACCACTCCACTATAATGTACAGTATTTATTAAGACTTCCATTTCAGTAGTGATAAAGAACATGACGGTATTTATTTACATTTTAATAACAGAATGGATAGACAACTTTTTTCACAGTTTATATTGTGCTCGCAAGCTTATTGATTACAGTACCATTTTTTTTAAAGTACAGTACAGCTTCAAAACTACACAACTACCAATGTATTGCTGGAAGTTTAATACTGTAAGTTTTAAGATAAGGCTCCTACAGTGAAAAAAGTTTGAAGATCAGGTTACATTATTCCAAGTTGGAATAATAGTAATAATAAAAATATTTATTGGTTAATATATACGACTAACCTGCGGACGAGTTATTTTTATTACTGTTTATTTTCTTACATTATTTTCATCAGTGAATTCTGATATGATAATCATTTCTTGTGCAAATTCTTCGTTTCATAGATAATTAGGCGCCTAGGTGCGCATTAATTTGTCTTGGTAATGAGGCCGAGCTCTGCTGCTGTGCTTTTCCCCGGGCTCGCGGCAGTTTCATTTTAAGCATGACGTGTCCACTATAAAAAAAATAGTGAAAATCCGGCTTTTTTATAATCGTTTTCGATCAATTTCGGCCGTGGGTTAGTCCTGAGTAATTACCTATTTATTCGGTAAAATTGTCATGTATATAAACTGTGCAGGTACTAAATACAGGTATATAGTTCAGCATAAATATAGGGTCCCTTGTTTAGGCTACAAAATTTCCAGTGGTTGTACTTCACCGAATCTTATTTATATATTTTTTTCTCGCGAAACTACACAAAATTTGCCAAGACAAAGGTAAAGTTAGATTGGGTTAGGTTTGCTCTGGTTCGTCTTTTTTGTGTTTTTACCATACAATTTGGGTTGGGTTGGTAAAGTTTTCATGAATTTGCCCAAGAAATCAGGGGCAGATCCACGAATATCAAAAGGGGGTCCAATAAATTTTGGGTGGGGGGGACATGGCAAGCACGGCGAGCCCTCCCAGCTGGGGGGTTGCCCTCCCCTCCCCACCCCCGATTATTTTTTGGAATCTAGCCAATATCATATTGAGGCCATTTTGAAACCATGTGCACTTGATATTAGGAGATATTCTGATGTCAATTGTCATTATTTTTTACTATACAAAAACGTCTGAGTAGACTATTGCATTAAAGAAAAAGTATTGGAATTTTACGATGGAAAGTTGGGGGCCGGATACCCAAGAACCCCCACCCCTCCACCCCCCTGGACCCGCCCATGGAAATGAATGTGAAATTCATTCGAAACACATCGAAATAAACCTTCTACACAATGTCACTTGGGATTTATGTATGTATGCTGGGGAATAGTCGCCCGTTTCTGCTCAGAGTATGAAGTACAAGCCTAGTGACAGCTGAAGATAATTGGTGTTCAAGTATAATGGAATTGTTGTGAGCGATATAAAGTGAAAAGACTAAGGAATTGTACCCTGTTAGTGTGTTGACTATATCTATTTGGAAGTGCGAAGCCCAGTTGTGAAGACATACCCTGTGAACAGTGTTGTGAAGAATTAATGATTATTAAAGGAGACGACAGTTCACAAATGTGTTTCTGTGACCTGGTGGAAATCTACCTGCCTGTTGTTTGCCGATACACTGATACCGATCGTCTGGAAATTGCGGGAGACTGGCTGGACAGTTAGTGGTAATTCGACGACACTTGTGATATATCTACTGCTTCTCTATATACGACCTGGCCGTTGGTAACCAGCGGTGGACGCTGATAAGCGGCGAAAGGGGTTCGTAACGAGTATCTCATTGGGCAAAATTTCCGCCGCTCTTGGTTCTCATTTCTCCATTCTTGGTCAAAAAACTAACTTTTTTACTCACTGTACGTGTATCACCATTGCTAGGACCAAAACAATAACATAGATGGCGGGTCGTCCAAAATTGTTGTAATTTTAAGCATTTCGTGAGATACAATGGATGTACTTTGGGAGGCGGGGAGAACACTCCCCAAGATCAATTAAGGTTACGTCAAGGGAAAACAGTGTTTGGTTGGGTCAGGCGATTAACGCGGTCATTTTTCTGAGGTCAGATAAGCAGGGGCGGTAAACTGCGGTATATGCTCAAACTTAACTGCCTTGAGCAGATTGATGATGTCGCCTCTTCTCTTACGACCTCCCTCCCTCCCTCCTATCCTCGTCTACTGTGATGGGTCTGTCACCACGCTGGGCTGCGCTGGGGCAGCTGTATGGATTCCTGAGCGCCAGGCCCGCAAGAAAATCAGGGTCCATGACTGGGCCTCCTCCACTGACACTAAAAGCATAGCCATCCTCGCGGGCATTCATGAGGGGGCGACCTATGCTCACACTGAACGCCGGAACCTCCTGATAATCAGTGACAGCACTTCTGTGCTAGCGAGGCTCAAATTACCCTCCCCCTCCTCCCCTGCCGTCCAACACACCCTAGCCGCCGTTGCCAGGCTAGAACAAACTGATGACATCCGTGTCAAGTTTATTTGGATCCCGTCACATATAGGAATAACTGCCTGTGACACTGTTGATCGACTTGCCAAAGAAGCGACACAAGAAGAAGATATTGAAGCCACCCTCGGCCTCTCCCTGAATCAACGGGGCAGCGTCACACTATACCACTATGATGCTGTAACCGGTGACTCCAACCGCCACTACAAAGAGTATCAATCTCTGACTCGATCTCAACAGATTATATACATGAGACTGCGCCTAGGGTACAGGTACCTATGGGAGTACATTGGCAACCCTGAGCCTGGCCGCACTGTTTGTAAACTTTGTGGCCAACCCGACTCTCACACCCTCCGTCACTACATCCTCACTTGCCCTATGACCTCCTCCTACAGGTCCCCAGCCGTTACCAACACCTCTTCCCTCCCTGACCAGATATCCCTCCTCCTAGTCACTGGCCTGGCACTTGACATTATTAGGGACCTGCCACGCTTTGCTATAAACAGATGAAATGTACCGGGAATTTCCCCTCCCCCCACACACTCATCATTCTGTCACTTTATGTAACTTGCTGACAAAACCCATGACCCTTCAGGCTTCCACGCCCTTAATGCATGAG